GTCCGCCGGTGCACCCGCCTGGAGATGCCCGACAACTTCAACACCTTTGTCCTTAAGGTAGGACTTGCCATCCCTCCTAGGCCATGGGTGAAGGGTCGGGGGCAAGAGGCTGCTGCCCTCCCCGGTGCCTCAGCTTGCCTGGCCCAGGCCCTGCCCTTTGCCCGGCTGTTCAGCACATGCTGCCTAGGTGCTGAGCGGGTCGCTCGCAGCCCAGCCCCTTGCCCTCCCTTTGTCCCAACGGCCAGCAGGCAGCGTGCCCCAGCCACCCCGCTGGCGCCAGGCTTCATCACGGCCCCCCAGCGCCCATCACAGCACATGTGCACGAAGGCTCTTGCGCCAAATTTCACTTCCTCTTCTCCCCCCGGCAAGGAGCAGCTCCAGTTTGGGCTCGGCCTTTCCACCCGGGTGCAGCCCTCTTGGTGCCGTGGCTCTGGCGCGTGACAGAGCCAGGGGCACGGTCTCAGGCAGGGGGCAAGAGTTCTGGAGACCTAAGCCCACCCTGCAGGGAGCCAGCGCAAGACCCCGGCCTGCGCGTGGGTGGGACGGTTAGGTGAATGCCCCGGCCCCTTTGCTTCATCTCCCCTGATGCGCCACCCGGGACGGCCGTCTCCCTCCAGGGCCTTGCATTCATGGCCTCGTGCCCCGGCAGCTGGCAGCACGAGACCACCTGCCCGGTCTCTGTGGGCCAGCAGAGGTTGGGAGCAGCTGCCTCCGGCGGCCACGCCGAGACACACAGGCTGCTCACTGCCCCAAGCGTCCAGGGGGGAACCGCCGCCTGCGTCATCTCCAGCCCTGCAGCCCTCGCAAGGGGCAGGGGGAGAGAGGAGAGCGAGTTCCCCTGGGAAGTCTGCGGCCGGATCTCCTCGCCCTTCGCAGCAGCCTCCTTCCTGCCTCTGCCCCCCTCGCAGCCGTTCCCTAGACCGCAGCGGAGGCACGTGAGGCCCCAGCGAGGAGGGAAGAGGAAGCTGCAAGGCAGAGGGAAGAGCGGAGAGGGAACTCCCTGGGGCTGGGGAGAGGCTCAGAGGGAAGCGAGACTGGGGCCGGTTCTCAGAAGCCCCACGGAAACCCCCTCCTCTGCAGCGGGCCCTGGCGGCGCTGGCTGGGCAGGGCGGCTGCCGTGGTGGCTGTCAACCTCTCCCCTTCTTCCCTGCCCAGGTGAGCAATGCCACGGATGTGATCTTTGAGGCTGGGGACGAGCAGCAGCTGATTTCCTGGACAGCAGAAATCAAAGACTGCTTGAGCCGAGGGTAAGGAGGAGCCGGGGCTGCCCCAGCCGCGGCCTGGCCCCTGTGTCAGCAAAGTATGACCGCCGCTAACCACGCGCCCACCGTGGCCGTGGTCCCTGCCTGGGGATCCCAGCCTTGGCCCAGTGCCTGCGGCAGGCCACGCACTCTGCAGTGCAGCACGTGCCCGGGGAGAGTTGTGGGCTTGCCCAGGCCACAGCACGAGGGCTTTGGGGCGCCAGCTCTCGGTTCACATGCCCCGTCCCGGGACTCCATGTCCCCACCAGTGGCTTGGGACAGAGGCTCCTGGTTTCCCAGCACGGAGGCAGTCTGGCCCTGTTCCCACAGCCTGGGAAGCCAGGGGCCAGGTTGTCACTACCCTCCGGAGAACGGGGAGGAGGCATCCAGCCCGCTCGAGTAGGGCCACGGACTGGGGAGGAAGCACCAGCAGGCCCGGCCAGCCCGTGGGCTTCAGCTAGCGCCAGCTTTTCCTGCAATTGAAATCCCCAGCAGCATGTCCTCCCCGGGCCCCAGTGTGATTCATGGAGCGCTCTGCTCCCGCAGCCCCTGCCTGGCTCCCCCACTTCCATGAATTAGGAGGTGCTTCCGGCCAGGCCTCCCGAGATGCTAACGCAGCTCGGCTTGGTGCTGTTCAGCGGTTGGCCCTGCTTCCCCCACTCAGCACGGGACAGGGCTCGCGTGGACGGGGTTGCCTGCCCCGGTCCACGGGCAGCCAGGGCTTGGGGAAGATGCGCTGCTCTCTGACCTGCATGGCAGTGGTCGTAAGCTCGCAGATGGTGTGTCCTGCTGGGCTCGTGGCCTCTTGCAGGGCAGGGTTGAGGCTGGAAGGCCCCTGGCCCCACAGTCTGGACCCAGAGGGTGTCCCTGACTGGGTCCCGGAGCCCTGTGCCAGAGGAGCTGGGATTGACGGGAACTGGGACGCCCATGGAGGCTCCTGGCATTCCTCCTCCTCCTCACCAGCCCCCAAGCTTGGCTCCGGCAAGCCCAGCGCTTCCCCTTTCCCTTGCTGTCGCCCCTCGGCACAGAGGGTGCTCGCCCCTGCCGCGTCGCAGCTGGCTGCACCTGGGCGCAGCGGTGACAGCGCTCCCCGATTTCTCCCCGTAGGTCAGACGCAGCTGACGTAGAGCCACTTCCGGGCCAGCACTCCGATGCCCTGGCGTCCAGCCCCGCGACCAGCAGCACCGACTCCCTTAACCAAGGTGAGTGCCCCACGCGGCACCACGGCTCTGCTCGGCCTGGAGGAGGAAGGGAAGGACAGCCACTAGGACAAGGCAGGAGCACTTTGCAGGGAGCAGTCTCACCTGCCGGGCAGCCAGGGGAGGGTGCGCTCCTCGTAGGAGCTGAGCACCAGCCCAGACCCAAGGGTGGTGGAGCTGGGGAACGGGCCGACTGCACCAAAGGGCAGACATGGCTCTGGCCTCTCCCCAGACAGGCTGCAAGGCCCAGTCACCAGCCTGCCTGCGCTGGGCGCAAGGGGGCCTGCGCTGCGCTCATCTCCTGGCCTCCTTGAGAAGTGCCCTCTTGAAGGCCGGTCTCCATCCAGAGCTGGTCGCAGGGGTGATAACAGGAGGAGACAAAGCCACGGCTCCCTTGTGGCAGGGGCAGTGCAGACTGTTCACAAGAGATGGGCCCTGCCCCGAGGTGCTTGTGAGGACAGCGGACGGGGGCACAGGCCCGGAAGGGGCAATAGGCAGGGCAAGGTTACCCAGCAGGCGGGTCCAGGGCTCCAGTCCCAGGGCCGGGCAGCCTCCAAAGCCAGCGTCCGAACAGCGAAGCAAGCGTGCTGGTGAGAGCGCCCGGGTGGGGAGCAGAGCGTGCGTGGTGAGGGCCAGGCCAGGTGGACACAGGACAGTGGCCTGCAGATGCCGGTGAGCTCTGGGGAGCACAGGGCAGGCCCCACGTAACCCAGACCATCAGGGCAGACATCACCCAGGCAGAGCTGGAACAGGGTGGAGAGTCTGTAGTGAGTGACCGAAGGAGGGGTACCTGCAGGGAGCTTGCGCTGACACCCAGCGGGAAGCCACGGGGAGGGTCTGCCCGGGAGGCATGAGAGCGGCAGCTCCTGTTCAGCAGCACCCTCTGGCATTTCTCTAGGCCCTTGGGGTGGCAGCAGTCATGAGGGGGCAAGGCCAGGGACCCTCCTTCTGCCCCCACGGTGGAAGTGGCTGGGGCAAATGAGGTCTTAATACGGCAGAGCCTCACGCCAGCCCCAGTCCTACCACTTGCCCTTAGCAGCAGGGCCCTGTGGGATTAGCCAGGGTCAGGCTGGGGGGCAGCAACCCCAAGAGCCCAGTTCCAGCCCCACGAGGTTTCGGTGCCAGGGGAGGCGAGGGGCATGAGGGATGCAGGGCCTGCAAAACCCCGTGGGCTGGCAGAGGGGGGACTCTGCCCCTCCCCGGATCATGGCCATGGAAGAGCAGGATCCCGCGGGCTCCCTGGTTTGCGGGAACCTGCCCCGGCATGTGAGCGGAGCACCGTGAGGGTGCTGGTCCTGCCATCACACACTATTGCTATCCAGGAGCCGAGGCAGGGCTGCATCTGGGGAAGGCTCCAGGTTGCCTCCTGGTTTCTGTTGCCAAGAAATCAGTCCTTGGCCTGCCCTTTCCCGTAAAGAGGAACTGGGCTGACCTGGCCTCAGGTTGCGTCGCCAGGAAACCAGGCTCTTACTGATAGCCTTTGCACTTGGTTTCAGTCTCACGCAGCGCCCAGGCCCCGCGGCGCACGGCTCCAAAGCAGAAGTGGCCGGTGACTGAGTTAAAGAGCGTGGCCGGGCTCAGCAAAGCCACGCACGCGAGGCGTGGGGAGGAGTCTGGTGCACGCTGTTCGGGGCCAACTCCCCTTCCTGCAGACATGCCAGGCGGCAGCTGAGGAGCCGGGGATGGCGGAGAAGTGGCCTCATCGTCCTTCGTGGCTGCTGTGGAGCTCGCACACACGTTTCCCCCCCTCCCTGCAGCCCCACGGGTCCTGACATGTCTCCCTCTCTCCTCCCTCCAGGGGCCGTGCCCTGTGCGCCCCCAGAGCCACCCTGCCAGAAAACCGACCATTTCCTGTCATCCTACCCCTGGTTCCACGGGCCCATCTCTCGCGTCAAGGCTGCCCAGCTTGTTCAGCTGCAGGGGCTGGAAGGCCATGGGGTTTTCCTCGTTCGACAGAGTGAAACTCGCAGGGGGGAATACGTCCTCACCTTCAACTTTCAGGGAAGAGCGAAGGTACGGTTTGGGCACAGAGGTGCATGGGGGGTCCCCTCTTTGGCCTGAGCTTGCTCCCTGAGCTGGACAAGAGGAGCAAAGTACTGCACAGCCAGCCTCAGGTGCAGCTCAGATGGCCAGCTGGGTCCATTGCCCCTCGGGCACCCTGCAGCAGGGAGCACACGTGCCCCCTCGCCTCATGCCAGAGCTGAGCCCCAGCAGAAGCAGGATTTTTTTTATCCCACGGGCCCCGTTTCCATAGGGGGAGCCAGCTGGCGGGCTCTGGAGGTGCTTCTGCTGCTCCCAGCACCCGAGGAAGCAGAGCCAGGCGTGTGCTGGGCCTCCCGGGGTCACAGCCGCTGCAGGGAAGGCCCTGGAGGGCTCCAAAATGGGGCTGAGGCTTGCAATAAACAGAGCAGCCCTTGGGGACAGAGGAGGCCCTGTTCTGATTACTTGGGGTCCCTGGGGGCCAGCATGAAGCCCCTCAGCACTGCGGGGGCCTGGGCAGGGCTTTCCCATCTGGGCAGGGCCCATCACCCCGCCAGCCCCGAGTGAGACGCTAACAGTGCCCTCCCTCCCCCAACAGCACCTGCGGCTCTCATTGACCGAGCGAGGACAGTGCCGCGTGCAGCACCTCCACTTCACCTCCATCGCGAACATGCTGCAGCACTTCCAGCGCAATCCCATCCCTCTGGAGTGCAGCGCTGCTGGTGACGTCAAGCTCTCCAGCTACGTCCCTCCCTCCCAAGGTACAGGGGGCCTGGGGACTGCATACGGGACCAGGGGATGTTCCCCTGGGGCAGGCGCTGAGCAGCAGCAGTCAGGAATTGCCCTCAAGGGCATCGGCAGGCCCTGCGTCCGTAGCATAGCGTTGTGTCCACGCAGTTGCCGAGAGGAAGCAGGGCTAGGGCCAAAGCCAAGGCCAGCTGAAGCGTGGGAGTGTGGGGAGGGCCGGCCGCTGCCTCCAGGCCTTTGCTGCTGTAGGTCAGAGCAGGACCCAGGGCCCGCTCCCCTCCGCACCCAGAGGCTCTGGGCCCGGCTCTGGGGAGGCGGAGGCTGGAAACCCGTAACGAGCCCTAAACCAGGCTGCTCTGGGCCCTGCTTCCTATGGCCATGGGACCAGCTGCTCCCAGCAGTCTCCTCTCCCCGTGCTGATTGCTGCCTTCAGAGGGGGCTTGGAACAAAAAATGAATCTCAGCATTTGTCCTGTTCCTCTCCGAATCGCACACACACACCTGCCAGGGATGGGGGAGGCTTGGAAACAGCTTTGCCATCCAGGCTGCCTGTTTCCAGGTGGAAAGCACCTCCAAACAGCCTGTGCTTCAGCCCAACCTCTGGCCCTGGGTGGCTGCGTTAGAGGGAGGCTGGCACACGGTGGAAGGCTACAGCCTTACTGCTGCAGGATGGGGGGGATGCACAAGTAAAGTGGTGCCCCACTCTGGGGAACAGAGGTGACAGGTCAGAGCATCCCTGCCCAGCAGCTCAGGTGGGGCTAGAGCCCGAGGTTGCCAAGTCCAGCCTTAGGCTTGTGCAACTGGCTCTTGCCTTTGTTTCCACCTGGGTTTCAAGCCCCAAGACCCAGCCATGCTGCCTCTGCAGTGGTTCAGTAGCTCAGCGGCTGGAGCAATGCGGCTGTAGTGGTAGGGGCACATGGTTCAGGCTCAGTGGAGCCCAGTATTTTTCCTTTACCAAGCTCATTTCAAGGTTTGCCCTTTGTTTTTTCTCTACTGGGAAAAATACAAAGGCCAGAGGAGCCAGGAGCCTGCTGTGAGCCCAGCTGGTGCCCTTGGCCCTCCTCGGAGCAGCCCCGAGTTAGGACTGGGCTCAGGTGCAGGGTCCCAGGGACCGTACAAGCCATCCTGCAGCAGCTCCGATGGCAGAGCTGAGCTGGGCAGCCCTGCAGGAGCAAGGCAGGAAGGAGGCCAGAGATGGTGCAGAGAGCATGTGCTCTCCCTCCCTCCTGGCATAGGGTGGAGGGGAGTGCCTAGTACCTCCTCCCCTGTAGCTTTAGGAGCCACCAGCCCAGGCCCTGCTGGGAAGGGGCAAGGGAGGTTTGGGCACAGGCAGGTGCAGGGGCAGGTGCACTTGCCCCAGGCCTATGGGCCACAACAGGAAGTGCCCACCCAGAGCCGCAGCAGGTGACTCTCAGGCCTCGGGCTTCCTCTCTGGAAAGGAGAAGTTGCCCCCGCCGTGGTCTGCAGGGGCCATGCGCCTGGTTCCCATCCGGTGCTCACCAAGAACAGCGTGTTCCCACTCAGGGCTGCATAGCCTGAAAAAGCCTTGGTGGGGGGCACCCCCAGCCAGCCAGCAAACTGGATCCTGCAGCTCGGCTCCCCTGCATTGCACTTGGGGAAGCAGCCTCGGAAGGAGGCCAAGAGGTAGCTGGCTCCTGCAGGCAGCTGCTGGGGAGAACGGCTTGTTGCCCCATGCCTGACAGGCTGCCCCCTACTCCCCAAATAAAAGCCAGGAGCTGCCAGCAAGGAAAAACAGCGCAATGGAAAAGCAGGCAGGACGCTTGCAGCTGCTGCTCCTGGCAGGGTGAACCTGTTCCAGGAGGGCTCGAGGGTCCCTGCCTGCCGTTTCACCAGCTTGGCTTCCTCCACAGCCCCAGCCTCTACCAGCACCATCCTGCTCCCCTTCTCCATCCCCAGCTGGAGCACCGACCTCAGCCTGGCTCACCTCGGTTCCTCCAGCTGCCCACGGCTACACACGACCGACCACCTCCACCCCAGCGCTCAGCCCGAGCAGATCTTCCACCTGGTGCCCCCTCCGGAAGAGCTGGCACAGAGCCTGCGCCTCGGTGAGGCAGCCCCCATGCCCATCGCCCTGCCCCGGACCTCTGACTATGAGCTGGACTCCCCAGGCCGGGGGCACACACGGGCCATTGACAACCAGTACACGCCACTCTGACGGGGTGGCTGGGTGGAGGCAGCGAGACACTTTTGCAAAGGAAAGTATTTGAAACCTTGTGCCAAAATGTTTGGGGAATTGTACAGGAGACAGAAGAACTGGTGTTCTTTTCCTTCTGGCTCAGGATGGTTGCAAGGAGGGGGACTAGGCTTAGGCCTGTTCAAGGGCCCTGTTTAGATCAGATCTCCCTCCTTACTGTTTACAGCCACAACTCCTGTTGGCTTACTGCAGTGCGAGGCTCACAGCCCCGATCCGTTATCGGTACTGAGTATTTCAGTCACTTGCAGTCTCCTGGCCAGTTTTGACATGGCTGAGGCCAGGAAAGCCTGAGTTACACCCACAGGGTTGAAAGTGCTTAAACAAATTGCTGATTTGGGCCACGCAGAGGCAGGGCAGAGGCACTTCCTGCCACTCAAGGAATGTGCTGCAGTTGCATAACATCACCCGGTTCCCTCTTTCTCTTTCTGGAGCAGGCGCAGATCCTATTAGCAAAGGGTTTGCTCTGCAGTTCTGGAGGTGGAGAAGACTGGCTGGCACAGTTAACAAATCAGTAGCTGCAGTTGATCACTGCTACAACTGTGGCAGAAGAAATCGTTCCAGCCACTCATTAATTAAGAAGGTGAACACTAACTTCCCCCTATTGTTCTTAGAAAAATAATGCAACTGATGGGTGGAGCATGGAGACTGACATCTCTTCCTAGTGAAGCTCCACTCCAAGACCGGGAGCGATTTAAGCACAAAGCTAGTCAGGCAAAGAGATTTTCCAGATGTTTTACCTCAAGCTGTTTCTTAAAGCACAGATTTGCTGGCCGCCCTGCTCGCTTGCTCCCCAGCTTAGCCTGCTTGAATAGCCCCCGGAGGCCTTTCCAGCTCTGCAGATGCTGCTCAGTTACTGGTTTCTCCCCCAGATGGATGCCACTGCTCCTCCCTGCCTGTAGATCTTGCACTACCGAGCGCTAACAGAAGCTCACATTTTTGTGCCTTACTTGGACTAAGATTAGGGTTTGGCATTTCTACACTTAGTCAGACACCTGTGATTGTACCCACCCATTTGCCTTTATACTGCTTTGGACACTGGATGTAGGCCCAGCTACATGTACTTGCTTAAGGTTTATAAGCAATAAAATCGCCACTTCCACAAGGCTGGAAGGCTCTCCAACGAGCACGGCCAATCTGTTCCCATTCACGGTCAGGCCAACGCCTCCCGCTGTGAGGCAGCATGACAGCAGGTCTCATGGAAAAGGAGCAGTAGAGATTAGCCAACTTGAAATGCGAACTGGGAGCAAGAGCAGAGGAGAGCTGGCACACAGCTACACAGCACTCCGGGTAGTGGTTTCTAGGTGGTGCACTCACGCTAAACGCACAGCCCCCACGCCAAAACAGTGCCATTCAGGGTGCAAAGAGCAGGCCCATTCAGATCAGTGATTTTCCACCATCTCTGACAGTTTAGGATCGATTGCCAGGCAAATCCCACCCTGGGAAAGCAGATAGAGCAGGGGCCTAAAACCACTAGTGCAAGCCTCCAAGCTTCTCTCCACTGTGCTGGTTTTGTTCAAGCAAAACAAAACAAAAGGCATTTGCTCGCCCCACTCAATGCCCAGGCAGTGGATGCGGGGAGCTGCTGCCCAGAGCGATAGGACAGCCCCGAGAGGAGCCTGCGGGGCTGCAGTGATCCCAAGTCAGCATCACAGGGACCGGTTCTCCATTTCCCCAGCCAGGCCGAAGTGCAGCCCCATGCTTTCACACCGTGCTCCAGACCACATTAACACCAAGGAGTAGTTTGGGAGAGCGTGCGAGCCTTCAGGAGCATTTCACTACATCGGGAGTTGGCAGCGATTCCTGGGCTGAGGTTACACCAGAAAATCCAGCCCGTCCACATGGGTGGAATCGAGTCCTCGTGGCTGAGCAAAACCGGACGCACCCAGGCTCTTTCCAAGTCAAGCATTAAAGCTTTGTTTGCTTTACCAGGGGCAAGCTGCCCCAAATGGGCCATGGCAAAGGGACTAGCTCGACCCCAACGGAAGGGGAGTAAGAGTTCAAAGGGACGCTGTTAACCTGGAAAATCTCTGCAGTGTTTGAAGGCTGTGCGCATGGGAACTCCACCCACCTTCCGCTGCCCTCGCTTACTCAGCGAGGCGTCTGAAAAGAGATTCAAGCCCGAAGCATCTAGGTTGGAGACCAAATGAAGCCTGGTGGCCCAGCATGTGAAGCTGTTTGTGCAGTGAGCACCCCTCACCCACCTGCCAAGGTGCAGAGTCCACTTCAGGAATTCATCTGGCAGCCAGAGAGCTTGATCATAAATTAAAATCAGGGATAAAAAACTTATAGCCATTGAAATGCCGGTGACTGGTGACTTTTGGGAGGAGAATTATTGGCTTCATGGTCATTCAGGAGGGAGGGCTCCTGGTTTTAGAGAAGTGTTTGAGAGGAGAAAGATCTTGATGGATGTAAGCCGTGGTTCACCTCGAGACACTTAAATACGAACATTTTCCACTATAAGCGCACAAGTGATTCTGTGCAGGGCAGGGGATCGTCCCTGTTTTGAAGCATCCAGGATGGTTGCTTCATGCATTCACAGCCTTGGAAAGGGAACATGCAACTTGGGCAGGCCTCCCCTTAGCCAGCGGTCGGTTATGTTGGCCCCCCGGATGGCCACAGCCAGGTAAACACTGTTGCACAGGGCTGGATGGACACCTGGCTTGGCTGAAGTGCTCTCAGCTCTCTCCCAGGTTCTGGGCTCCGGGAAAGGTGCTCCCAGCATCAAATCCAACTGGGGCTCCAAAGCACAACACTGCCTGGGAACAGCTCTGGGTGGATGCAGATGGAGCTGTGAAGGAGACGCATCCGAGCCCTTCTCTCTCAGGAGGCACCAGCACAGGGCTAGCAGAGGGCCTGCTTTCACCACAGCTGGTTAAGAATTAAGTTGCATGCATCTCTCAGTGAAGACAGTGCTTAGTGCCTTGAGGACCTAGCCATACTGCCACAAACAGGAGCCTATTTCAGCCGGTACCCTGTGAAACAGCCAGCACATGGCCAGAATACAGGCCTGCGTCTGAGTCCGATAAGGCCTTCACTGAAGTCAACCCCCCTTATTCTCAGGACAGGACTTGCTCTTTGCAGACCAACAGGCTGGCTCTCCAGCAGCTCCCACACACCCTTGCAGCAGGCAGGCTCTGCGGATGACGTTGCTGGTGTGCGTGAGGTCCCATCCTGTCTAGCCCTTTAATTCCCCCCGTCCTGGTAGAACGGGACCAGCATTTAAGAGCAGGTCACGCCCCCCCCATGGATGCTTCTGCTTCAGGGCTCTCTTCTTCAGCATGGCTCCCAGGAAAGGGTCCAGGTTCAGGGGAAGCAAGGCCAACCCCCGAGGATTAAAAGGCAGCCAGGTGGCAGGATACTTACTTGCTTCAAAGCGTCATTCTTCCCTCTGCTCCCTCAGGAAAGTATTCAGGTAATAATCTTTCTTCTGTTCTGTGCAGCAAGAACACTTGTAGTTTTATACCCGACACTCTCGTACTTTAACACGCATGCAAGGCCGCAATCTTGACTGACAGGTTTTAATACAGTATTCCAGATTTCAAACTTAAGCTTGTTGTATCATAACAGGACATCTTAGCCAGCCAAAGGCCACAGGTATTAAGAGTTGATTGTGCAGTCTACACACTGCCTTTGTAACCCATCAGCAAATGAAGGCCAATGTTGGAATAAACTGCATTTGTTTAAAGCTCTACTTCTCAACAGCACAGAAAATTATTCTTGTATAGCAGATTTTCTATATATTGTTTCTGTATGTACTGTACAAGTAACTTATTCTTGAATAATGCAAATTTTGCTACTATGTAAAGAATCCTGTTCCTAAATAAACTGTTTTTAGAATTTTTCACTCTTGTCCCTTCACATCCCTACTTCTAACCTGATCTTCTCCAGAAGCAGCTCTTGTGTTTCCGGCGATTGGATTAACAGCCGTTAGAAGAGCCCTGCCCCCACCCAAACTGCTAGAAACGGAATAGCTCTCCAAGTGAAGCAAAGGTTTAACAAATCTGCCTGAACGTGCCAATCTGCTCAAGCCCCTGCTCTTCAAGGAGCACAGGCACAAGGCGTTTCACTCACTGGGGTGGATAAAAGCACCCTCTATATTTTTAATGATACTGTGCCCCCTGCTGCTAACCAGAACCGCTTCTCTAAGTGACATCAGCCCTGCACTGTGGTTGCTCAAGACAACGAACCTGAGACACGAAAGCTAGCCTGCTTTCCTCTCCAAGCCCTACGCTTCTGTGCCAGCCATGTTCCACAGACAGATTATTATTTCATTCACCTTTTCAGTGCAGCCAGGGGCAACGCAACTGGAGTGTAGGGGACTCCCATTTCCTCCTCCAATCCATCATCATCTTCTAGGCAGCAGATTTTAAGCATGCTCAACAAGGAACAGCAGCGGAGACCATAGCGTATTTCACAGACGGTGCAAACTGCTACAGGTTAATGCAAGGAAGTCAAGTGCCACAGTTCTCCCAGTCCCTCATGCTGGAGCTTTTACTCAGTCTGGCACGTAGCTTCCACCAACAGCAACCGATGCCAACACCACTGGCCTTCACATCATCTCTAGAGCCCTACACGAAACAGCTAGGTCTGCTCCTCATGGAGGGAGTCATATCATTCGACAGGCAGGCTACAGCAGTTGAGATTAAATATCGTACTTGGAACGTGCTTACAGTTGAGACAAGTCGGTTGAAACACATACCCTGAACACCACACTTGCACCAAACCTTGCATCATGAGGGTGTCAAACGCTGCTCACTTTTGTACAGCCAAAGCAAGCTTACCCGACGGGGAACAGGACGAATGCTCTGGAGACGGAGGATGCCATACACACACCTCAAGAGAAAACGCTTGCCACGTTGGTCAGTTTTTAAAACTTTTTTTATTTTTTAATTTTTTTTTAAAGTTTTTATTTTATATTATCTACAAAGGTTTGTCTTTTTTTTTTTTAACTTAAAAGTTACATCACTGTCTTGCGATAGTGATCACCTCATCAAACGTGATTTATAAATAATAATCCATCAGTTTGACGATTAGAATTTTTTTACTGAACGGTTTCAAGTTTAGTTAGAAGTAAAAGGGATCTCCGAGTCTTGATTTTTAGTGATAATAGCAGCAAGAATCACTCTTGTTACTTCCTTTGCTAGCTGATGAGTTCAGAACTTTGAAGGGTCGTTAAAAAATAAATAACTTCCAGTTTTCAGCAAGCAGAGCTGGGGCACTTGCAGGACTCTGATACAGTGCATGGAATTATGGAATAGCCCACAAGTTCCTACATGCCTCTACTCAGTCCACATCTCTCCCACTGCAAGATGAACTGTTAGCATTCCTATTGAATGTTACAAGAAATCAATTTTTTTTTTTTTAAACAAAATAAATGAAATTCTAGTTTTTCTGTGCTTCCAGTTGGCAGAAGCAGTAGAAGGAGGGTTTTGGCCTACAAAAGGTATCCAGCCTTTCAGTTACTCCAGATCAGCCTTACAACTGTTGTTGGTGGTGGGCTTGTACTGCAAAAGAAATTGCAAAAGTCAGTAGCAAATTGGCAAAGCCATGCAACCGTCTGCTAGTCCCCTGGGCACAGGGTCACTACTCCGCTCAAGCCTTGCAAAAACCTGCATTAAGATGTCCTTTGGCTGATTGCTCTACCTAAGCCCCTGGAAGCCACAATTTGCTCTCCCCACCCATCCCCCAACACACAAAATGAGGTGTTTGTTCACTACACAAGATCACAAGCTGCTCTGAAGGGGAACAAAGCATTTAAGAAGCCTAGGCAAGATTTACATGTGAAGACAGTAATAAAAAAACCAAAAAACAAGGAGTGCCTACTTTTCCTCAAGCAACGGCACTGCAAAATAGCGCTCTCAGAATAAGGAGCACACTTCCAGCGGCCACTTGCCTTCAGCTGTTGGAAGTCTGCAACGCTCGCGCCCCTCGAGCACTATTCCTGCAGCTGCCCTCAAGACCCGTCACTGCTTGGCGTTTTAGGACCCAGACCATTCAACCAGAGGCCACGACGCAGCGCGTCCCCCAAGGCAAGGGCGAGAAGGTGCAGTCCCAAACTCCGCGGCCATCGGTCCTTGTACTTCAGCCTCGGCTACGTTAGCTAAGTCTTGCACACGTACCACGCTCACACCTGTACTGCCAAGATACAAACGCTAAGGGCAGAACAGCCGTCTGCCTGTAGCAGTTTGCCTCGGTAAAAAAGGACATCTTGAGGTTTTTTTGTTTTCTTTCTTTCTTTCTTTCTTTCTTTCTTTCTCCCCACACCTGGCTCACACTGCTCTCCTCACTAGTTTGACCTGGCTCAGTTACGGTGCAGGTCTCCCAGGCACACACTCCTCACCTGAAGGGTGCGTCATATAGGGGAAATGTGTTGTTGTCGAGACTGGAATGGGCTGTAGTGCACTTTGAGCGATGGCGGCTTGGGGACCACCAGGTGGCTGTGTCGTCATTAGCATCATTGGAGCATGGGCAGTTGGGTGAGAAGGAAGCATTCCTGACTGTACATGAGCCTGAAACAAAGAGCTCTTTAGTATAAATGGTCACAAGGAGGCAACACTCCTGGCCACGGGGCTATCAAAGACTCCTCCGGCCGTCTCAGGAAGTCCGGAGATTTGCTCCGCTTGCGCTCGGTTGGCCAGTGTGTGCAATGGGGGCTGAGCCTGCTGCCTGGGGGAGGGCCTCAAATCCTTGCTCTCTGCTCTGAACATCTCTTCTCACTGCCGGTAACTGGGGCAAGAGTCCCTTTACTGACTAAGAGCACAGGAGGGACTGCCAATGTGAGGG